TAATTGCTGGGAAATGTGCGAGGGACAGATGCAGAGAAAGAGAAGAGAAGAGGAGAAGAGAGCTAGCGAGAATAGGTCAGGTAGGTCGGCATTGATAGGGATGTTAAGTGTCCAGCGCAGCGCTGAATGAATTTGTTAGACTTTCTTTTTCAAATAGTTGTTGCCTTTGTTTGGATTTCGTTTTTTCCACACATCTGTTGTGCCTGTGTGTGTGTGCGTGTGTGCTAACGAGCAAGTGATAATTTTTTGGCGTATTTATTGACTTTGTGGCATTGTGGGCTTTATTTATATTTCTTTATTTCTCTCTATTGAGTCACATTCAGCCGGAAATGAGCCTTGCCCCCGGCGGGCGGCGGGTTCAAGGCTGTGCCCCCCGCCCCCTCAGCTGTCGTTGATATCTCTGTTATTAGCCCAAGGCGATTGCGGCCAACTACTATGTGCAGCGGGAGAAAGTCGCAGGCAGCACAACGGGGGTCGCTGTTTGTTTAGGTTGAGAGTTGAGAGTTAGATAAGTTCGGGTAACAGGAAGTCATCGATAAGCTGGACTAAACTATTTATAGCCAAGCACTTTGCTGCATTTTGTATGGTATTCAGATTGAATGAAGCTATCTATAAAAAAACGACGCGTTCAGAAATGTTTATTGGGCTGAAAAACTGAAGTTATGCGTAACCTTAAACTTTTCGAATTTTAATGGCTGAATAAACTATTCCTTGTTTTGATTAGTTTCTAGTTTCTGTATTTCAGCTAAATTCTTTTTTTGATCTATTTTAAAAAACTATTGCATAAAAGAATGTTTTTCTATTTATTTTCTAGATGATTTTTCTTGTATTTTTTAAGAGGAAACGTATATCATTATTCTGAAAATAGGAGTAAAAATGCTGTAGTCGGGCGTGTTCGGCTAGAAGATACCTTGAACTCTGCATCGAGTTGTCAAAAAGTGAAATATTCTATTTCGCTACTATATGAAAACCCAAAACCCAACCTTGGCTCTTTTATATTGACTCTCAACATTTTCGAGTTATAATTGAAAGAAACCACAGCTCAATCGATTTTAAAATGGGTAAAGATCTCCAGAAATAAATGATAAGCTTATTTCCCTAAAGCAAAGGCGAATCTATTATATATATATATATATATATATATATCTATTTCCAATTAGGATTTATGGTACTCTCACCCAGCTAATGCGCTCAACGAAAGTCCTTTATCAACAAATCAAGGCTCAAAAAAATAAAGCATAAGCCAAATAAACACTTAAATATGCGATATTCGTTCATTTAATCCTTCTGAAAGCCGTCGACCTTTGCTGCTGCTCCTCGTGGCAGCGACCCTCATCAAAGTGATAGATCCCCATCGAGTTGGAGACGAGTTGAGTTGAGTTCTAAGCGATTTGCCGCCGGAAGCGCCTGCACCTTCAACGGCCGCAACATTAGCATACAAATGTGTCAGAACAAACAACCAAATAAACGAGCGACAAAAAAAAAAGAAAAACATAAACAAAATCAAGAAAAAACTAAAGTATGGAAAAGACAGCGCGTGATTTCTTGACTAATTTTTATGACACTTTTCACTTTATGACGCCCCACAGTGGAGCAAATGTATTGGAAGGTGGGTCAAATTAACTTTTAAAAGATATCCAAAAATATTCCCGATATGCCTATAATATTATTGCCATCGTTTGAAAACCTTACAGAAATAATGTTATATCAAATATTTTAAGTTCAAATCAAAACTAGATAAAACTTTCATGAATAGCAAAATGTTTCGTATTGAAAAATATGAATATTGAAATGTTTCATATGTTAAAACTTTTTTTATTTATTTTTTTTGTATTTTGTATTTTGTCTATAACATATTGAAAATATTTATAATCACGGAATTGATAACTGATTTTTAGAAACTTTTTCATTTTTAATATTTAGAAATCCTTTCAAGTATTTGAATAGTTTAAAACTCTCTTAAATCACCTGTAATATATATATTAATTAACATTTGCTTTAAAAAATGTAGTTTTAACCACTGTGCCCCAGAGGCCCAGCCAATTTGAAAAGTAGCTTCTTTTCTATTTCTTGGCTCTTTTATTATTTACGAGTTTTTACCTTTTAAAGCAACTCTTCGATCTCGTTGCTACATAAAGATTTTTACTATCACGGCTGGGGTTGGGGGTTGGTGAGTTGGGGCTGGAAGTGTTTTGGCCATTAAATTGTTTCGGCCTCGGTATTGAAAACAATAAATGTCAAAAATGCTGCTGCTGCGAAGTGTTTCTCTAATCGAGGTGAAAGAAAATAGAAAATAAAGTGGACATCGCAGCGCTTCGCCTGCTTTTGGCCATGCAAATCACGTAAATTATGGCCACGGCCGTATAATTTCTTATCGCCCGAACATGATTTCAAATGATAGACTGCAACTGCAGCAGCAGGAGCAACGGGACAGGCGGGACAGAGGGATGGGTGGGCCGACGGATGCATGTACATGGCCAAGATTTAGTGGGCGCGACAAGTTTGAGTCGGGGACTGGGCTGGGGCTGGGGCTGGGGCTGTGGTTGGGGGTGTTTTGCGAGGGGAGGCGCATTGCTGCAATTGCCAATTGGCAACTCTGGCAACACGCATAAATTGAGAGCGCCGTCGTTTTTATCTAATCCGCGGCATCTGTGCGGCGACGGCGACGGCGACGGCGACGACGACGACGACGACGTTAGTTGCAGGCCTATTGGCTGGATCTGCTCCGGGTCCCGACGACGACAATCGACAGGCAATAAATCACCAAAGTTGCCACAGAACATTTTACGCAAGCCGAGCACACCAACAAATTTATGTGCAACCGATAAAAATCAGAATCGAACATTAGAATAAATTGTCAGTCAGTCGCACGCCCCGCCTCGCCTCGCCTCCCCACGGGTGGGGGCAACCCCCGCCTGAGAAAACTCACATCATTGCAACTTGGTAACGACTCATTAAAATTAACTTGCAAACAAAAAGTTTGCGATATTTTTATTGGCACTCAGAATTTCGATTAATGAAATAAATACAACGAGATTCCAGAGAAATGTTTGCCCGATAGATACATATGTTAGGAAACTAATAAAGTCTAGAAACTTTTATGAATATGTCATTATAATATATCTTTAATAATAATAATAACGGAGGCAACTTTGATTTAAAATGTAAGAAAACGAATTGGGACTCAAAAATGCATTAGCTAAAAAAACAAACAACAAATTACGACTCAAAATCAACTCAAAAAATGCAGAGGTTCGCCAACTCTTGGGTTCTACTTTTTTCTCTATTCTCCATTAACTTGAGGGTTAACTATTAAGTTTTTCATTCGTGCCTTATTTAGGTAACATGAAAGGTCAACTAGTCTGGGCTAGCTTCTGCAGAGACTTGGACTTTTTATATTTCACAATTTTGAAACACAGCTATCGAACTTTCGAAAACAAAAATTTTCCATTTTGAATTTCTTACAATTGTAATCTGCTTTATTTTTATTTCCTCGTGTTTTCTTTATTTTATAAGTCGACGCCACCTCGAGATCGCTGCTTGTTTTCTTGACTTATAACAAAATACTAATATATTGCTTTACATTAATGTTCACTGTTTAAACACTTTCCTTTTCTTTGAGACAATTTTTGCATTTTTGATAGTACATTTTTATGGTACATAAAATTCATAAATCCTTAACTTTCCATATGACAAAATAGAGCTTCCTGATCTCCGAAATTTTTAAAAATATGTCGCAAAACTCGCAACAATCAAATTTTCGAGCGTATTTTTTGATTAAAGTATTAATTGATTTTTATCAGTTTCTAATCTGTTTGAGATTTATTCTCTCTCTCTCTCTCTCCCTCTCTCTCCTTCATTTGTAAAGTGCATAAATGAAAAAGGCAAACAAAAAAGTCGAATATTCAAGCCTTTAAGAATAATCGGCCACATAATTCCGATACACGTTGGGAAAAATGGGGAAAAGCGCTTTGGAAAACCCCATGAAATCATGAGCACAATAGCAGTAATTACATATTTTTTGTTGCTAACTTTTGTACTTACCTTTCTATAGTTCTATCCCGCTCGCTCGCCTGTCTTTCGTCTCCTGTCACGACTTTTGTCACAAAGCGGGTGGGGGCGGGCGTTTGTGTTGTGCCGTTAAAAGCACGTTCCTTTAGAAGGACAATAATCCGACGCGTCGCCGTTACCGCCTCTGTCTGTGTGCGTATGCGTGCGTATGCGTTTGTGTTTGTGTGTGTGTCCGTTGTGCCGTTATTGGCGGCGCGTCGACTCTACTAGCGGAGTATAATCCAATAATCCAACACGAATGAGCGTGTGCAGGCAGAAATTGCAAAAAATAGACACAGACAACAACAGCAACAACAACAGGACAACACTTTGCCGCTTCTTCCTCTACTTCTCCTTTCCCTGTGCGTCTCTCTGTGTGCGTGTGTGTGGGTGACAACTGCGACGCAGCCGCTTATTTAGTAAATTAAACTTTTCACTTTTTGCAATCTGGCCACACAAAATAGAAAATGGAAAATGGGCAATTTACTTGCTTTCGTTTTGGTTTTTACCCAATTCACAAATACACAACAGCAACAATGCGCGCACACACACACACACACTCAACAATAAACAAAGTGATGCCGACGCTGACGTCGCTGCAAGCAGCAAGTCTTAGCCTAGCAAAACAACAACAACAGTAAGTAGCGTCGGCGTCGGCGGCGGCGGCGTTGGCGTCGGCGGCAACAACTTTGCTATAGTACACAAAAAAATATTCCTTTTTCACTGTGCGCTGCGCGTCTCAGTCGCTATCGCCGTCGCCGTAGCCGTCGCATAGCCATGCTCAGCTCCTTTAATTTGTATATGTATTTTGTATTTAGTTGTTGTTATGTATTCCACTTCTACTGCTATTTCTTTCTTTTATTAATGACTTTTTCACCTTTTTTTCTCCACACAAATACCAACGTCGCCAGTCGCCGCGTAAATTTTTTATTTTTTTTTGCGACACTCACCGTAATTTACAGCTGACGATTGAATAGACACTCTCACTTTTGCACACACTCTTAAGGAGTAATTGTTGCAAACGATCCGACGCTCATTTGATAAACATTTGAAATTTTTTTATTTTTGTTATTCGATTTTCCGCAAAAACACAACAAAATTTCTATGATGCGGCCGGTACACGCGCGCACACAACCGTTCGAAATCGCCGTCAATTCCAGACTATTAAATAAATGTTAAGGCAACTGTTATACTCAAAATGGACAAGAGCGTTCAACTGTTATCTCCAGCGCAGTTTAGCTGTAAAATGTTGGCTGTTAAATTTAGCTAATATAGTAATACATAATTACACAACTCAAAGAATTTCAATAATCACCTATTGAGTAAGTACGTAATATAACACGATAAAAGAAATATTCATATTATATATTATTCCACATCGTATATAAATTCCTTCAATTTCTATCTAGCCGTTTTTTGGCCATTGGTAACACCGCTGTTAAGCTCTCTGAGAGTCTGTTAACTTAACAGTTTCGCGCTCTCAACACGTGTGACCATATACTGCCAGGTCCAGTATTTTATTTTTAGTAAAATACCAGTTTCGCATGGTTGCACAAAGTAGCTAAGAGCTGCCGATTTAAGTATTTCCAATAAGTTATTGTTTATTATTTTAATTGACTAATAATATTGTTATTTTAATTTAACAAAATCTGATTATTAAAAAAAATAGTATCAATGAATACCGCACAGTACAGACTGTGCCCGGTGTTTTCAATTTGTATTCAGTGTTTTTTATATTTGGTCTACGTGATGACTGACAAAAAGCTGCTTGATATGCGATGACTATGGCCAACGGCTAACGCTTAAATTTGGAAATTCAATTTATAAATTAGAGCAAAAACAATAGCACAAACATTAATAGCAAAACAATTTTTAAAAAATCGTAAAATACAAATGAAAAATTTTTAAAATTAAAATTAAATTTTATAGTTAGGCTTATCGAAAACATTAAAAATTATTTAAATCTAAGAACTCTTTACCTAAGCCAAAAACAGATAAATAAATATACATACATAAATTAATTTTAAAAGACACCATTAATTGATCAATTTTTTACTTATAAAAACTAAAAAAAAATTAATATTTAGCTAAAACAATTCTAACAGAGGACACATACCTAGCTACTTATATAGCAAAAAGTGAGAGTGAATTTTATAACAGTAATGGAAATAATTGAAATCGTGACGTCACATATTCCCCCTACTCACAATATTTCTCTAACAAGCGTTTTCTATACTACATATTATTTTTTAACGCATTGATAAGATTACACAGACACACACACACACATGCATAGAATTATTAACAAATGCACGAGTTGTTTTATTTTTGTGTATGTGAAAAATATGATTAGTTGCCGTTTGGTTTTGACGCGGGCAAGTTCTACGGCCCAAACCGCGTGGAGCCAGAAGTGAAAAAAACAATAACGTTGAAAAATTGCACAATTTGAACAAAGAGAGTGAAGAGGGTGCGAATCAAAGAGAACGCGAAAAAATGCCGTCATTTAGCCGGTTGTTGTGGCTCTTCTTCGTCTTACTGTGCCTAGGCGAGGTGGCGTCCATAACAATGGGTTAGTGTTTACCGTTTGCCATTGTTATGTAACCAATACGATTCGCTGTCTCTTTTCTTCCCGTTCGCACGCAGATGAGCAATGCATGCATTCAATCGATAGCTGCGATCGCTGCCTAAATACGCACCTCAGCTGCGCCTGGTGCACGGACAAGGTTCTCCTCTCTCCGGCTCTGCCTCCCTCTCTTTAACTAATCCTCGCTCTCTCTCGGCAGACGTATCAGGTGCGCTCTCGCTGCTTCACCCGCGCCACGCTGCTCAGCTTGAACTGCAGCGAGGCGAACATCTATGAGAACCAGCCGCAGCTGGAGCTGCTGCAGCAGCGCCCCCTCAAGGACTATGAGACACGGGACGAGCAGGCGGTGCAGGTGAAGCCACAGCGCGTCTTTCTCAAACTGGTCAAAGGTGCGTTATCTTATCCACAGCTTATCAAATACCCTAGTACTCCCTCTCTCTCCCTCGCTCTCTCTCTCCCGCTCTCACTCTGGCTAGGTTTTTTATCTGCCCTACATGTTTTACATTTACGAGAATATTACCTAGTTTTAACCGCCCGATCTGGTGTTTTGTTTGCCCTGCTGATTTGTCACACATCATTTCCTACACTCGGTCTGGGGTGTGAGTGTGTCTAAATGTGTGCGTGTGTGCGTCTGTAGGTGTGGCTTATCAGCAATTAGTGTGTCACGATTCCTCAAACAATTCTTATCACGATTATTGATATAACGGGTAGCGTGAGAATTCATTGACCTCCCCCGAGCTTACGAAGTATTAATTCGAACTAAGCTCGGGGACCCAATCTGTCATTGAACCTGTGACAAAAAAGGGGAAGGGAAAGAAACAGAGATAGTTCCACTCTTTGCGAATCTCTCTAAAGTTCGATGAAAGGTTGCCTTTTATAATACGAAGTGTTCAACCCTTTAAAAATATTCTAAAAGTGTAATCTTTAAATTAGACTTCAATTGAATTTTAAATTAACTTGAAAATCAATCTTTTTATAAGCTATTCAAGCGTTATAAAAACCATTTGGTACTGTTAAAAGAGTAAGTTTCATAAAGTTAGTTTAGAAAGAGATAGACAAGGTTGATGAAAATTAACAATTTTTTTAATTGTTATTTTTAATTTATACTAATATATATATTTTTAGCGTTTTCATTATTATTGTTGTTATTTTTTTATATTTATATTATTATTATTATTATTTTTATCATTATCATTGGTTTTATTTTTATATTATAACTGTTATTAATATAATATATATTACTATTATTATTATGATTATTATTATCATTATTGTTATATTTTTATTATTATTATTTATTAGCGTGCAAGGCTCATAAGAAGGTTTTTAAATGAAGCACAGTTATATAAAAAAAATGAAAAAGCAAATGCATTTATCATCGCCAATGTATCGCAGAGGCGATACTTATCATTAACTGAAATCGTAACATTTTCCCTACCAATCAAAACGCTTTCCCATTGCATAAAGCTCTTTTCTATCTATTCTTTTAAACTTCGTTTCGTCTATCAAAAAAGTGACTAACTTCAGCCCATTTTTCCTATCGTCTGGAAGATGGGAAAGCGATACATTAAATTATTGGCAACAAGCCAACTAAAAACCTTAAATTTGAACATGAAAATATGTTGGGGAAAGTTGCGCTAAATTTAGATACAGCTGCTGTGCTACAGATAAGAAACCTTATCATTAGTTGGGGCAGGTCCAATCAAGCTGCTTATGGTCCAATTGAGTGCCAAGATGAGCACCCATCGAATGGGAAAGATCATGCAATGGACTGTCATTAAAAGGTGAGCGGTAAAAAAAACGCGAATTGCAGTTATGCGATGGGAAAATTACAGGCTTAAGGATTAAAGGAAGACAAAACCATTTAACATGGGTGCGAACAACTTCAAGTGGTAATGAAGGGTTGTGGAATGGTACAGTGGAATGAAGGGGAGTGGAGTGGAGGGGAATGTGTAATGGTGGAATGTAGAGCAGACAATGCTTAACTACTGCTGGCTGTCTTTCAATGGCATCGCAGTCTATAAAACAGCTCGTAAATGGCGCACTTAACCCCTTGACTTTACAGCCAGTAGTAAACCCCGTTTTTCTTTTATTTTCTTCTTATTTTTCTTGTTGTTGTCGCCCGCTGCCCAATTGGAATATCTTTTACAGGCAACACGCAACGCATCAAGCTGAGTTATCGGGCGGCACGCAACAACCCGCTCGACCTGTACGTGCTGATGGACCTCACATGGACGATGCGCGATGACAAGGACACGCTGGAGCAGCTGGGCACGGAGCTGACCCAGACGCTGCACAATCTAACGGATAACTATCGCCTGGGCTTTGGCTCCTTTGCGGACAAGCCGGCGATGCCGATGATAATGCCACAGCTGCGGGACAATCCCTGTGCCGCCGAACGCGAGCGCTGTGAGCCCACCTACGGCTATCGGCATCATCTGCAGCTGACGGATGATATCAAGGCCTTCACAGCTGCCGTGGCGGCCAGCCGAATCACTGGCAATCTGGACAATCTGGAGGGCGGCCTGGATGCACTTATGCAGGTGATTGTGTGCCCCAAGCAGATTGGCTGGAAGCAACAGGCGCGCAAGGTGGTCATCCTGGTCACCGATGGCTTCATGCACTTTGCTGGCGACGGTCTCCTGGCCGGCATCGTGCAGCGCAACGATCGAAAGTGCCACCTAAACAAGGCCGGCGAGTACACGGGCTCCTTGGTCTATGACTATCCATCGCTGGAGGAGATCTATCGGGAGCTGTTGCGGCGCAAAATCAATGTCATATTCGCCGTCACAGAGCAGGTGTTCGGCACCTACCAGGAGCTCAGCGGACTCATGCAGGAGATCAGTAATGTGGAAATTTTGAGCGCCGATTCATCCAACATTTTGGAGTTGATTAAAAAGAGGTAAGTGGGATATAAATTGGATTGATGGGAACCAAAGAGGAAGATATACATGCTGAGGATTCTCTATATATAAAACTTGTTGCCCTGACTGACTGACTGATTGACTGACTAAATGACTGACTGATTGATTCCTTTTAGGGGTCACTATTCGAAAGATCTTTTTAAGTTAGCCAAGTGCGAGAATTGTTAAGTTATACCGAAAATTCGAAGCACAAAAATTACCATGATCATGAAATCATCCGAATACCAAATACTTTGGCGCCCGAGCAGGGACTAGCATATTCTTAAAAGTGAATAAAACCAGCTTTTCTTATATTTTGCTAATTGATCGTTTGTTTTCCCATACCTTGCCCCATGCCAGTTATGAGAGCTTCATAAAGCGCACTCAATTTGGCGACAACAGTCCGGATTTCATAAAAATGGAATACTTTACGGACTGTGCCGGACAATTTCCCAGTCTGCGTCAACGCAACTATTGTAGCAATGCGAATGTGAGCAAGGAAATTGAATTTTATGTGGATGTAACACTCACGCATTATCCAGACAATGGGGTACTGGTAAGTGTCGATTCCCGATCTGATGAGCCTCAACTGAGAGCGTTGCCTTGCAGAATCACAAAATACGGGTGGAGGAGGCCTCACTGAGCGCGTACATGGACATCGATGTGG